GGCCCATGTCACTGACAGTGAAGAGGTGGGGCTTTGGATGCAGTACAGCTAGAGGTCTAGCTCTATTTCTTACAGTTCTTCTTGTTCCTTCACCCTTATGGATCAGCCTCACCCTCAGGCTGTCTTCCCTTGTGGCCATAAGGTGGCTGCAGCTAAAACTCAACATCCATCCTTCTCTTTCCAGATCACGTGTGCTGGGTTTAGAAGGGCAGTGGGCAGATTTTTTCTCCTCATCGTTAAACAAAGCCCAGAGTTTAGCTCTAATTGGATAAAGTTAGATCACATCATCACCTCTGGGTAGTAACTATCGTAGGGAGGACGGGACTGCTTCGATAGATGCAGGCCAAGGGCTTCTCACCCGGTAACTGGAGTGGAGAAACCCCAATGGACACTGCCCAGCTGCTTGTCAATGCCTGAAGAGGCAGCCAGCAAGGAATACATTCAAAAAGAGAAAAATAACGGGCACCTGGGTGGCTCAGTTGGTTTAGCGACTGCCTTCAGCTCAGGTCACGATCTTGGAGTCCCGGGATCGAGTCCCACATCGGACTCCCTGCTCAGCAGGGAGTCTGCTTCTCCCTCTGACCCTCCTCCCTCTCATGCTCTCTGTCTCTCATTCTCTTAAAAAAAAAAAAAAAGAGAAAAATAACAATTGGCATTTACTCATATTTTAGATGTAGATGAAAATACACACAACATAAATGAAGAACTCCTATTTTCAAGAGCTTCCAAGTGAAAAAAAATGTATCAAAGTGATAAAATAATCCCTTTGTGGTCTTAGGGAGTGTTTTTGTTTGTCTAAGGAAGCATAAGTGTCAAAATCTGTGCATCTGATTTTTGGAGCTTTTCTGATCTCCCGTAGGTAAACAAATAATACTTTAAACTTACACATGTTGCTATTTAACAGTATTTTTATACCTTTAAAAAATATCCATAAATGTAGTGAACTCACATAATTGCTCACATAATAACACGTGGCAAAATCCTGGGAACCAAAAGGTTAACTCTGGGGAATGCAGGTGTGTTGACAACCCTGCATTCACAAAAGCCAATCCCGATTATCATTTTCAACGCTTCCCCTCTCTCTGCTTCTTTTTATTCCTAAATGATACAGCTTCAACATGATAATCTACATAAAGCACCCCCATAATCATATTAAGATTAAGGAAAATATGTATGAAACATTTTATTTATGCTTAGTGACAGTGAGCAAAGAGGAAATAGGCGGAAGAATTTTTGTGACAGTTTATATTCCAACAAATAAGCACATGGTTTAAAGTGTACTCCCAAAGCAGATTATACATTTTATGCATTTAATTATAATCATACTTTCCTCTTATCTGATATGAATATCTTCAATTTAAATATCAGCTTAATTGATGCCTATCATTTAATAATCATACTATGATCCGGGCCAATTATAACAATTCTTTCCTGTAAAACTAGAGTTGTTAGAAGATGTGGAGTAGGAAAATGTTTAAGTCCTGACATAAAAATGTCTATGATAAAACCAGGGGCTTTGAATTTCATGGTCCTTTAATGTTGCTTTTGAAGTAATGAAAAAACCATTTTCCACCACTTGCTTCAAGGACTCCACTAATAACATCTCCCACAAAAGACCGCTCTTTTTTAAAGAAGGATATTGTGACGTTATTTTAAAGCATTTAAAATTATGTAACAAACTTTTACTGGAATTTCTCAGTCTACCTTTTTCATTCTCCCTAATGAAATACTTTTTAAACAGGTTACTCATCTTAACCTTATGGAAATGCCGATGACAGAGCATCCATTATTTAATTCAGTTCCAGAAATAAAGGATAACAAGTTGGGGGTGGTAGGGAGGAAGGATGTTATAAATAATTTAAAGAATTAGGAAAAAGGTCTTTCTTTGGGTCTAGACTTCAGGTTCATCTTAGGTGGCAGAAAAATGGTGAATTGATAGCCTTGGACTTGTCCCCGGTGGACACTTGCCCTTCACACCAACCTTCTCTTTGGATGGATGGCTGTCCACTTAGGAAGGGACCTGGTGGCAGAGAAATCACCAGGGCTTAAATGGGTCAACCGAATCAGCAGCGATCTTTGCAGACATCTGTGTGTTAAGCTCTGTGTGTCCTCAATAAAGTCAGCCACACCAAGAAGTGGGATTTCGGGAACTCCTGGAATAGGGCTGTCTAATTAAAAAATGGTTCAAGATGAAGTTTCCCAGGAGCACAGAAATCCAAGGAGAAAATGAGTTTCTTCTTTTAATTTCATATGAGATCTTTGGCTAGGAAACTGCAAAGGGTAATTATGCAAAATGCACGTGAGGATGCCACAGACCGTCTGGGCTGGGCGAAAGGTGACTTGTAGCAATAACCCCAGGCTTTGGGTTTGTGCAGCTTGATTTTCCTGGGAGGATCAGGTACTAGAATGGGGAGTGATTCTAGGAAGTGACCAGTGGGGAATCAGAGGGCAGTTCTACCAGTCAGTGCTGAAAGAAAGAAAGAAAAAGAAAGAAAGAAAGGAAGGAAGGAAGGAAGGAAGGAAGGAAGGAAGGAAGGAAGGAAGAAAGAAAGAAAGAAAGAAAGAAAGAAAGAAAGAAAGAAAGAAAGAAAGAAAGAAAGGAATAAATGATGGATGGAAGAGAGAGGAAGGAAGGGAAGGAAGGGAAGAAAAGAAAGAAAGAAAGAAAGAGAAAGAAAGAAAGAAAGAGAAAGAAAGAAAGAAAAAGAAAGAAGATAAATGAATAAACTAAGTAAAAATCTGTCTCTAAAGAAAGACTTTCCTGTAGTAATGGTGGAGGGCAGAGCTGTCTTTCCCTTCATCACATATACTTCTTCACTGGTTCCCTTCCTTTTCATGGGAAGAATAATAGTACACAGCTTTGAACCACTGTCAGGACTTCAGACTAGTGCCTGGCATATTCATAGGTTAGCAATCCTCCTTATTGTTAGAACGTGATTTTGTCTATTTACAGATGCTGATGGTGACTATCTCTTAGAATGTCCAAATGGATGAGCCAGCATAACCAATGTAAGTGTTAAAGAATAGTTTCCTAATATTTTATGGCCTCATTTCATTGGAATCATTACATTCCACAACACCGCCTGGGTCAGACCTAGTTCTATAAAATAATAGAGTCTTACGTTCCAGGCCAAACTAGATGAAACTTCATCTTGAAACCTTTTTAAATTAGCTGGCCCTATTCTAGGAGTGTCCACAACAAATGACTTCAAATGAGTTATCTGAAAATCACTCAAATCTCTTCAAGGTAAGAATGTCTTTTAAATGTCCTTCTCTTCTGCTGATATTTGAGTTGATTCCTTCTTCCTGTCTTCATTTTGCTTTATTTATAAAAGCTGATCTATGTATAAAATATTTCCATTTTTTTTTCCTGTTGGGCATGAGGGAAAGGTTACATCTGAGTTAGCAGGTGGGATCACATAAAAGACAAGATGGTTAGTTTATTTCATGGAACACACAATCATAAAATTTTAGGGCTGACATGGCCCTCAGAGAACACCTAACCCAAGTACTTCATTTAAAAAGTGAGAACAAAGAAGCCTCCTAGGCCATATGCTTAGTGAATCAGAAATGTGGTCATTAATATAGCACAGTAATCGATCCTAAATATAGCTATATAAGTATAGCTATATAATATATAAAGCTTATATATAGCTAAAATAGTGAATACTATTTTGGTAACTATGATGCATTTGGTAATCTTGACTGAAGACTTCTTGTTAAATTTTAGAATTAGAACCATCATGTTTTCCATAGTGTAACCATTCTATTCACAAAAATAGGAAGGATCTAATCTTGGTAGTAATCACCACATTTAATTTGAAAAGGGGGAGAAATTCTTAAAATATTTTTAAGTTAGAGAATTTATTTGAAGTTATAGTCAAGACAATTTTTTTTTTAAGATTTTATTTATTTATTTGACAGAGAGAGCACAAGCAAGGGGAATGGCAGGCAGAGGGGGAGAGAGAGAGAGAGAAGCAGGCTTCCTGCTGAGCAGGGAGCCTGATGTGGGGCTCGATCCCAGGACCCTGGGATTATGACCTGAGCCGAAGGCAGATGCTTAATGACTGAGCCATCCAGGCACCCCAAGACAATTTTTTTTTTCAAGGCACATTTAATATCAAGAGTGTAAGGGCAACCCTCTTGGGTCCCCTCCCTCCTTGGGAGCTTCATACTATCACTCTGCTATCGCTCAATAAACGTTGCTTTGCTGCCCACCACACACAGACACATACACATACACACATACACAAGTGCAATAGAAAAGGCCCAAATACAATGAAGGAAACACATTCCCCCATTAACACCAATGACAATGCTCTTTCAACATGTGCCTATTGAAGGCAATGGGGATTTAATTTCATTACTGAAAAAAATAACTCAGTGAGTCTCATCACAGCCAGTATGCTACTACACTTTAGTAGTGAAACAAATGTTTATAATGCTTCAAACAGTTTCAGCCTGAAGTCTGATACTGTGCCTTTATGTTTGTACAGTCCTCAGTAAGATTACCTACAGCATTAGCAACCATTCAAAGAACAAACAATTGATAAAACCACATTGATTTAAGGCTCAGTCAAGTAATACAGAGCCCCAAACTAAATGGTTGAATATATGAACTACTTGTACTGACATCTATTATTTGATTCTCTTTTGACAATTATATTGGTTCTTAGCAAAAACAAAAAACAAAAACAGAAAAAACAAAAAAACTCTTTAAAGGCAAAATTCACCTCATTTGAGTTTTGACCCAGAAGTTCAACAACAATCACGAACTCCACAGTCTTACTGGCATAACTGATACACAGTGTCTCTAAGTCACTATGCTCAAGGTTAAGCACATATTCTATTTTACATTTTACTGGAATTTTGCATGTTCAATTCATGATTTTAAGTCTCTAAGTTCTCATTCCTCCAAACTGTCTGAAGACACAGTGTGCCACAGACTTAGGACTTTCATTTCTCCCTCTATTTTCTTTTCAGAAAAATTTCCCAAGGGTCTACATGTTCTGGAAGGGGAATTTTTTGGAGGTGGCCACTTCTTTGGAATAGTTTGGCACCTTCAGTCCTTTGAAGCAAGGGGAGAGGGAAGAGAAAAAAGCTGAAAGACAAGGTTCATCTGGTAAGTTTTATCTTAACCATTACAAGCTAGATAGTATAAGAATGAGGCCTTTTTTAGCTCCAAATGACTGAGTCTTGGTGTGGAAACTGAGTACTCGGCTGTCCCACCACAGCTCTCTCATAGTGGGACTCTCAGGGAAGTCTTGACTGGGAAGTGTCTCATAAACTTGCACTCAGTTCATTTTGGGCTTGTTCCAGTTTGTCTTTAGTCTGTTCCAATTCACCTTTCATGTTTAGGAAAAACAAGCTGATCATGGGGTCTACCATTGTTGATCTCAGTTAGGCAATGCTAGGCTGTTGGACTTGCTTGAGGTGCTGGATTTCAGGAGTACACTCTTGCATCTCTTGCTCTTTGGTTGCTAGTCGCATTACAAGGATGGTTTCCTCATTGTGCTTTAGTTTTTCTTCAGACTCCCTTAACTCAGTTACATCATTAGAATTAAGATCTGTGTACTTGCCCTCTAAAGCTTGGACATATGCTTCATATTGTTTCCATCTTAGAGTTAACTCCTCTTGTGTCATAACCGTGAAGGCTGTTTTACTCAGTCGAACCTTTGTGGGAACAGGTTCCTCCATGGTCACCTTGCATCCTCTCTGGACAGAGGCGATGCAGACACCACCCAGTCACACTACCGTGGGCCCCCGCTCCACCTCCCACCGCAGCCCCAGCACTCCCCTTTCTTTGCCAAGACATAATTTTTGAAAAGGAAGATTATTCATAGGCTTAAGGCTAATCATTGATACCCTCAAACTTTTCCTGTACTAGAACTCGAAAATATAGTTAGCTGTTTTGCTTTTGTCTATGACTATGGAGAATACAAGTTGTAGAGGGAGCCTGAGTTCATCTCCATAATATTTGAAGTTCTCTAAGTAAAAACACTCTGTGGGATATAACTGGCTACGTTTTCATGACTGGGCTCAGAGGTGGTGGTCGGAAATGTAACAGGGTTCCCCATATGTATTTTAATCAAGACACATCATACATAGTTTAACAGAGTTTACTTTTTCATATCACTACTGTACTTTGCTTCCTTCTAAACACTTTTGGACACATAGTTTTGAATGGCGATTTGGCAATAAATGCTGTAATTCAGGGCAACAAGGATATAATGTCTAGACAAAATAATGTCATAAAATGTGTAGGAAAAAATCATGGCCTTGACTGAGGTGCTGCATAATCAATATAGAATTTCTCACCGTTGAACCCTGAATTTTCCACATTGGTGAGTGGGTAGTTACATTCATTAAATTGAGTAAAAGTGGTCTGGCTTAATCCTGAAACAACAATGAAAATTTAGAGGCAATGCCTTGACATGACATGCTGGAAACTGGCTTTCTATTTGTAGGTGATTTAGAGCTCTTTCTTTCATAGAGTTCTTAAAAAAAAAAAGATTTTATTTATTTATTTGAGAGAGAGAGAGAGAGACAAAGAGAGCACATGCAGGGGGAGCTACAGAGGGAGAGGGAGAAGCAGGCTCTTCACTGAGCAGGGAGCCTGACACAGGGCTTGATTCCAGGACCCCAGAATCACGATCCGAGCCAAAGGCAGACGCCCAACCAACTGAGCCACCCAGGCACCCTCTTACATAAAGTTCTAACAAGAGGGCTATCCTTTCCTTTTTCCAGCATGTTCCACAGAGAATATTTCAGTGTCTAGATTTCCAAGGGAAAAAATACACACCTGGACTAAATAATAACAATTATAAGACTAATTAAAGGTCTGTGTACAATCCCAAACCTCAAATCCTTATTGAGCATGCAGACACGGATATAAACTTTCAACTGCAAATCACAGCAGCAATTAAAGGAGGATAAAGCTAGTAAGAATAGAAAAGTAACTTTTTAATCCATAAGGACATATATTTCTAGGAGGCTCTTTCTGGCTTTTAATGCTGGCTATAGGAAGAGCACATGAAGCTACCTGAGTCTGTGTGGTGTCTAATTTGTTTCCCTTTATCTTATAGCTCTGATGAGTCCTCAGGAAGTTAGGTCAATAACCAAGCCCAAGTGTCTAGAAGATGCTTGGGTAGGTCTGCAGTGGTCCAGCCATTCTAGGAAGAGCCCCCTCCCTGGTAAGAAGCAAGGGGTCCCATGCTGGTTCATCAGCACTTTGATTCTTGAAATACACAGTAAAGGATTCTCAATAATCAAGATCATCTGATGGCCCAGGATATGAAGTGTCAGACCATTTGAGGAATCGATTCCAAATGATTTGATACCGAAGAGTAAACTTTCTTTCAGAAATAGTTTTCAGTATCTGGGCATCAGAAAGCAAAGCACTGGGGTTACCCTCTGCAGCATGAGCGGCAAGAAATACACTTGTTCTGATGGGCAGACATTCCCATGCACACCATCTTTCATTCTCCTAGCTATTTCTGGAAAGGCATCTACTGTGCCCTGAAAAACATATAGATTAGGAGCTACTTCTTTACATTTTGTGACATGAAATGATGCAAACTTAGTGTCTTTTTAAATCTCTAGCAAAACATCAAAAAGGTTGAAGCCAGGATGCATTCTTCAAGGGCCACACTGAGCTCTCCGCATACAGGGCAACCCTGTAGGGTGGCTTCCAGTAAAGCCCCGGGGTTTCTCCATGAAGAAAAATCATAGCAGATTTTCATACCTTTTGTGAAATTTAAATTTAGAAATAAAAATAGACAGTGAATAAAGGAACATCAAAAGAAGTAACACACATCCATCAAATATCCTACGAGCAGCTAGGGAGAGAGTGAGGGACCACAAACTGTGAAAAGTCTGGTAACCAATGATTCAAGGCCCTATGTTTTATTTAGACCCAATTATAAATACATAAAAATATTTTTTCCCTCCAAATAAATATATAGAATTTGAGGAAGCAGTCCCAGGAACTCACTCTGCCCTCAGGCAGAGGATATATTCAGGCATCAAACACGTGTAATTTGCCCTTGTGTTCCTGTGACGTCTACACTCCCTGTGATTACTGCTAGCTACTACTTTCTTCCTTGTTTTCCATTCCTCCTTCTCTGTGTCTCCTTCAATCCCTTTCCCTTCTGCTCTTCTTCCTGTTCTCTTTGCCCTGCCCTCCTTCCCTTTTCTCCTGTCACAGGAGACTATCCTCATCACCAGAAGCAACGTGTTGAAAAAAATGAGACAGCAAGGAACCAACAATGTACTTGATAAAACAGGAGTCTTGGCTGCCACCAAATCGCTCTGGGTTAAGCCCCTCTTTCTACCAGAAGCAACTTTGGGAGTTGGCAAAAGAACAAAATGAAGAGTGTCTAGTCGCAGCCTCTCATTTGGGGATCACAGAGAACCAGGAGGGTGAAACTGGCTTGCTGGGTCCCACTATGAGACTAATGATGAAAATTCCCTGATAAACTTAGATTTTTTTAAATGGTCTCGCAGAACATTTACTCAACAACAGAAAGCTTAAGAACAGATGTCACATGCAATAGTCATGGTCATCATCACCTTACCGGTGAGTGCCTAGAATGAAAAGAAGCAATGGGCAAAATACAGATGTTTTCCCGAGGCTTTACGTGGAAAGGCCAAAGAGACTGGCTTTATGTTCTGCATTAAAACAACAACAACAGCAACAACAATAACATCAACAACAACAAAACAACAAGAGAGAGCGTGACACTTTGCGGTCTGTGGAGTAGCGTGAGTTACGGCGGGCGGTTTTTCCCTCTGCCCCAAGGACAGGCCAGGAGGCGTCATGGACAGTTTGGATTAAGAACTCAGATTTCTCTTGAAAGATTTTTAAGGCCTGAAACACACAACTACCAAGGGAAGCTGTGAAATTTCTTTTTTCTGGCAGCCTTGACGATTGTATCTTTCAGGGTTGGTTTACATGCAACGTGGCTGTGACCTTGCATTACCCTTCAAAGCCTCAAAGAGGCTACGATTATGCAGTTTAGGGTCTGACGTTAGTCTGTGTGCTTGTGATCACCGTGTTTTAAATTCAACAGGTTGGAAAGAATGCAGCATTGTCCAAGTGCTGAATATGATGATATCAGTTTGGATTTACAAAGCAGCCTCATATTCAACCTGTCCAGGCCATAGAAAGGTTTTGCTTCCCTCCCAACCTCCCCACCAATTTGGAGGGGAGGAAAAAGAGACACAGGCAGGACAGTGACTTAGTAAAGTGTCCTCTGAGTCCCAAGCAGGGTCGACCTCCCAAGAGTCCCAGCGCTTGCACTTTCCACAGCGTATCTGCCTTGGTTCTCAAGGAATCGGGACTCTGGTCACAGCTCTTTATTATTTTATTTTATTTTCTTAAAGATTTTATTTATTTGACAGAGAGAGACACAGCGAGAGAGGGAACACAAGCAGGGGGAGTGGGAGAGGGAGAAGCAGGCTTCC